GTAAAACAAGTGCCAATAAATTCAAAGGAACTATCAGGCACGTAAGGCTTGTCAAAGTTGCAAAAAATATGAGCAATTGAGTATTAAAATACCTTAGCTGTTACACCACTCGATGCTTTGAGCAGGAGAATGAAACCAGCATCTTAATTTTATTCTCAGCCACAAATAGCATCTCATCACATTACACAAATTCACTGCAAATTGTTTTGCTCACAGTTTGGGGTTTCCTTTGTCTTACCATTGAGGCAGACTGTCTTATGGCAGATTTTTTTAGTATTCTATAGAATAAGCCAGAAAGCCTTTTTTCTTCTTTTTTTTTTTTGCCAAACATGTGGGCAAATCTAAGGAATTTACAGTTCAGATGTAATTATTTCAAAATGAGGAACAAAACCTCTGTAAACAGTTCCAGATAAAAATGAAATATCTTTCAGTAGCTTTCTCAATGATATACAGACCCTTGTCAAATCTCCACAAGGAGTGCATGTTTAAATTCATACTCTTCAATTCAAAATAGATTTGCATACAGGAAGTGGTGTGGATGTATATGTGTGTGAATGTATTTTACTCAACTTGCAAAACTACACTATGATGTAACTCTTTTTTAATTAGAACCTTTTAGTTGACTGAAAGACAGAAGTCATGTTCTTTTTCCACTCTTCCCAGCAGTAACAAAACTACCTATTAGTGGAACAGATGCTGATGCCACAAATGCCTTTTTACTACTGTCATTTCCTTCTATACACGACACTTCCAGGACATCTATAGTGAAGTTAAAATAAATTATTCAGCACTCCTCCCATTTAAAAGGACTAAAATGGGCCAAAATCAAGCTAAAAAATAAATTCAGTGCCAAAGGTCCAAATCCCTAAATCCCTAAAGGCTTATGTATGTRCATGTAATTCCATGGTATTCAACCAGATGACACACATACAAATGCAGGTTTTTGCAGGACTAGAATCTTCTCCTTCCTTCACAATAATTTACATGAAATTAATAGTTTTTTTGAATCAAAATGCTCTAAAAAAATCTCAGATCTAATTCGTAACAGCCTAAAACTTATCTCTTTTGGATTTTTTTCTGCTTCAACACCTTCTCTTCTGGATTCCTGGCACAGTTTCAAGATTCCCCTAGAGTGTGACAGGTAAAATGTCATCCCATATTAATTAACTAACACTACACATCTGAACAAACTCCAAACAACCAATGTTTATGTAGAACATGAATATCCTTTTCAACTAATGTTGGATACCCATAATTTAATAATAAATTTAAACAACATATACTTACTGTACAAGTATAATTTAGTATATTTTAATTTTTACAGGATTACCATCAGTTTTACAACTGAACTTAAATTCTTACATTTTGAACACCTATCTAAGAGTCAGTCAGCTAGGATTATACCTAAGTACAAAACAGTGCTTGGTCATTTCTGCCCCAGTTAGGATATTGCCTACACCTTACCTACCTGTTTTCACGTTCATACATCTCTTTTGAAGTGCTTCTTAGTTGCTCAATTTCTTGATTTGTTTTCAACCTTATTTGTTCCAACTCTTCATGGAGTCTCTTTTCATATTCTGCTTTACAGTGGTCTCTGTAAATAAATATATTGCACTGGTCAAAATATCAAAACTTCAGGTACAGCTTTACAAGAGCATTTTACRTTTTACTTTAATCTTTACTCGTTCACCTCTCAATGACTTAAAATATTTATCAGCCTATATTGCTACATAAATTAAATGAAAACTAACCAGGAATAAAAAAAACATTTAACTGTGAATAAATAGAAGTTCTCTGCACACAGATTTAATTTTTTTAAAGTAATTTAATATTGATTAATCACATAACATTAACATTCTTCCAAAAATTCTTTGTCAGTCTTGACTCAATTGCTTATATTAAGTAAACACTTAACTYCTCACTTTCTTCTTCTGCACTGAGTAAGGACTGATTAACTTACTGACTTGCAATGCTGCCATGCCACTACAAGAATTCTTTGTATACTGTTTGCACCTCAAAGGGAGAAAAAGCATCACAAGAAATATTGAAGATTAAATGCAGTGGAGATTTGTGAAGTCAAAAAAAAACCCCAAATTAGGGAATTTATCTTGTCAACATGACATACAAATTATTTAAAACACAACGTTTTTATTCAACCAATATCAGAAGATAYCAGGATAAAAGAATTTCATTTCAGAGAAATTTTGACATCTTTTTGTAACTTTGGAACCTCAAGACAGATTGTAGGGATTCTCATAAACAATCTCTCCTACAAAAACAGGATTATGTTCTAAACACTTAACATTTAAGGAATGTCAAAATTTTACAGCATCTAATTAATGTTCAAGAATAATCAATCAGCAATGAAGTAACTGGTAGAAATCACAAGTTTGGAAACAAAAGCGTATTATGAAAATATGTGCATGTACAACTGTAAAAGGTTTTAGATTTCATTAGATTTCCAACTGTGTGATAGCCCATAATTTTTAGAAATCAGTACTTGAGCTGGTCAAAAACTCCCTCACATTAACTAAAAGCCCCAAAATATTAAAAAGGAGAATGCTTGCTGTCCAGGTTTTCCTGTTTTCTTTTTATTGAGACACTGAATTTCATTGACCGTTCAAGGTAGAACTAAACTTTTTTCTTCTCCTTCCTCAACTGTGCCACACTATAGCAAATACTGAAGACCTTTTACAAAATATAGAGGTTTATAATTAAAAAACAAAAAGCTCATGATTTCTTAAAATACCAGTTCAAAGTAAGACTTAAGATTTTATTTAAAATACAGAAATACTGGGAGAACATAGTTTTGAGATATAAACACGCAAACCAAATTTAAAAAACATTGAGTGACTGCATTGAAAGGAAAGATAATATTTAAAACTCTCCTGATATGGGCTGGAGCTCCATAGCTGATCATTTYAAGAGCACCCTTCTATTTTCATTTAGAAAACAATTTTTGTTTTAGTTGTCTATCAGAGAGTCATATTAGCATATTTCCTCTTAGTTATACGGGACACAAGATTTATGGATACACATTGAAAAAAAGAAAGGTGGTTTCATAATGAAATGTGTAAGCCTCAGAGAATAATCACCATGAACTTCCAATGCTGAAAGTTTACTTTCACTTCTACAGTCTTAGATCAAAGGTTTAAAAAAAAAAATTCTTGATACATATTGACCCAAGAAAAGTGTTTGGATTCTAGTTACACAAACATGGATTAGCTTTCTGAAAAATAAAATTAATGAAATGGGATTTGTGGAAGAAACAAGGGAAAACAGTTCAATAACCTGCCTACTGATAGAAGTGAACATACAATAACTTGCCTGGATGCAACGTATTTTTCATACATTTCTTCCCTAGCTTTTTTGGCATCCTCTAGCTGAATCTGGAGTCTTTCAAGACGATCTTCTTCATGTGCACAGCGAACGCTAAGCTCCATGTTCTGGCGATTAAGATAATCTTTATCTTTTTGCAACAAGTTGAGGGATTGTTGTAGGGTTGCCAGCTATAAAAGGTATTAAAAAGAGCCCTTTAACACAAATTTCAAGGTAAGTATTTAACTTATTTACACATATTTGCAATTTAATTTTAACTCTCTTCACTTGAACCATAAGACTCTATTCATACTTTAGTTTAAGTAAATTGATAAAGCTTTAAGCTGAAAAAAGACTTTAATAACACTATATTTTTATGAGTTTTCATTATTTATGTCTGGTAGTTGGTACCTGAAAAAAGAGGTCCTTTCACCTACATCAGTATCTAAATATTACTGAAGTACTGAGTACCAACGGTACTGAATAGTGCTATGCCAGAAACATTGATGCAGAACTTTGGTACCAACATGTCATACTGACTATGACCTTCTCAGAAACAGAACTGAAAACTGTAAGGGCAACAGTGTGATTACTGCTCCATAAAGAAATGGTGAAACTGCTAGTTCTGGGGCTGATGTATGGCATGATTGTCACAGACAAGGTAATGTTCCAGGCCTGCCCCAATGGCAAAGAGCTRCTGTTGCTACAGAAGGCTGAATGGATGCCGAATTAGAAATGAGAATGTCATGAGAACAGATGCCTTTGTCACCAGATCAGTCATGTTTACTACACCAAGAAGCAGTGAGAGAGAGAGAGCAGTCTCCATCCATTCAAGGTGAACACAGTTAAGGAACAGCCAAAGAGCATAAGGGCACTGCTGCAAGGTGGTCCAGCTCCATAATCACGATAACAAAACAGAGTTTCATCCCCTTAAGGAATTTTGCCATTTAAGCCCCTGAGGATGTCACATKCCAAGTTCAAAGAATGGTAAATTAATAACTTAACAGAAACATGTCTCTGAAAGCTATAAAGACATCATGTACATGGTTTAGATAGAATTTACCTTTTCTAAGTCATAGAAGGACTAAAGGTTACTTGAAGATACTGGAGACAAAGACAAAGAGCRGGTAGTTCAACAGATGAAAATTCATACAAAAACAGTACTCTTAAARGCATGCTCCTCTCCATCAGCCCACTTGCTCAGCCATTCTCAGGGTGGGGCACAAATGCTGGTCCTATTACTTTAATTAAGGAAAAAGGTAAACATGCTCTCTCTCCAAGTAACGCATTGTACGCATATCCACAATGAACAGACATCATGGACTACTAGATGAAGAAAGCAAGCAGTTACTGCTCCTGTAAATATTCTTTCTCTGGAACAAGGAAGAATAAAGTAGTGATACTTTTATTCAATCCCTGATTAATTTAGTATAAAGTTAATGGAAAAAGTCATTGTTGCTACTTTACTTGATGTGTACATACAAACCTGATTTACAGGACAATACTTTTTTGGGCATTGCTGTAGRCTGAGAACAAACCTGACTTTTGATGTCCTCTTACAGTTCTAGACTGAGGAATAAAGAGACTAAGAAAGCTTTCAGACTGATACAAATGAGATATTTTCTAATAGAAACTCAGTTTTTTCCCTAATGCTCCTCACAATCTCTACAGCTACCTGTAAAATTAGGCAGAGCAATGCTATTTTTAAAGTGGCAGTTACAGCGAATATTTTATCTGTAAAATTGTTATTTATACAGAGACAATAAGGAACACTATCTCCCCTGGATTACCACTCGTGAGTTTCTCATATACACAGCTGCTAAAAMGTTAACATGCAAAGAGCTTCCATATTATTCTTGCGGCGCTCTGCTTCCCTGGCTGAACACCTGCCTGCCCACGAAAGTGGGGAATGAATTCCTTGTCTTGCTTTGCTTGTGTAAGCAGTTTTGCTTTGCCTATGAAATTGTCTTTATCTCAACCCATGAATTTTCKTGACTTTTACTCTTCTGGTTCTCTCCCCCATCTCACTGAGATGGGCAAACAGCTGTGTGGAGCTTAACTGCCAGCWGGGGTTAAACCATATCAAGCATACTCACAGCACTCATCTTCCTCTGGTAAATTTTCCCCTGGGTTCATCCCAGGTTCCTGAGCTTATTGGCAGGGTTCAGCATGTCTTTGCTTCAGCCTTGTAAGTCACATCCCTAGGAAAATGGCATGGATGTAATGCCTAGGAAAAAATGGGAAGCACTTGACCAGTGTTGAGGGATATAGCCTATATTGCTGTGAGTTGGTCAGCTGTTTTAAAGATCATAGCAAGTGATCAAGACTTCTGATTACCAGAATCCTCCTTCAAACAGAAGCACTCAGTTGGGTTGGTAAATCTAATCACAATCCCTACAAGGATTATGAAGCACATTCCCCTGGAAGCTATATCCATGCATATGGAGTAAATGGTGACTGGAAAAACAGTAGGGAATTACCAAGGCCAAACCTAGCAAACCTGACAAAAATGTTGTCTCTATGGATCAGGAAGTACTACCCATGTCATTTACTTGATCTTTTCTATGGCTTTTAGCCACCTCCTATAACAGCTCTATGGGAAAATTGGCAAAATTTGGATCAGACAGACAAACATCAGTTGAACAAACTGAAAATGGGACAGAAGAGTGGAGTGCCTTGACAGAAAAGGCAGCCAAGTGGCTACAAGGCTGTATTAGCAACAAATTATTACCCTGTGTTCCACACTTGTGAGACTATATTTGGAGTGCTATGTCCCATGACATGCATGTCCTAAAGAAATGCATAAATATATTGGAGCAGGACAGAAGAGCTCTACCAAGATGGTCATGAACCACACCAGATGATGTATAAGGGGTTAAGAGAAATATKTGGAACTTTTTTCAGCCTTCAGAAGAGAAATCTAGTTGGCAAAAATATTATGGTTATCTTCACCTATCCAAGAGGAACACATACAAAGAGAGAGATTCTTGCCAGTATATGGCAACAGAACAAGATGCAACAGAAGAAGCTGCAACAACTGATTAGTTTTTACAAATGCATTTTTAGAAGAGGTAGACAAACATTGAAACAGATTGTCCAAAAGACTTCGATACCTCTGTAGAGATATTTAAAACGTGATAAAGCTGTAACCAACTCAACCTAATCTTGTTCTGCACTGCATGGGTGGGTGGGAGGAGCTGGTCTCTTGAGACTATTCTAATTGAATTATTACATGATCCTGACAAAACTTGACTAGACCAAGAATTGAATTCCCAAAGTGAAGAAATACACAATTACTAAAGTAAGAACTTTACCTCTTTTGTTAAGTCATTTCTTTCTTTAGTTTGTGTTTTGTATGACACCTCTAGTATTTCATATATTCTTCTGAGCTCTGACAATTCATGCTCAAATCTATCACGTTCACTGTGAAAGCAAAGCGAAACTATTAGACGCATAAAGCATAATAAAAGATTCCTATGCCTTTTTCATTTCTCAGTCTTTTTCCAGTTCATGACACTRACTTCTTCCAACCAATCACTCAAAGAACAGTTGGCTGATAATCTTCCCTTTTAGAATTACTAACACCTGCAACAGTATCATATTATATGAAACAACTGAAGATTATTTAAATACTCAGAAACAAAGAAAATGCTACAATACTCTTAAACTCCCATCCCAAATGATTTCATTTTCCTCTGACTATTCTTTTTTAGTGTAACTTTGAGCTATACATTTCTCCTTAGCAATGAATTGGAAGTACCCTTATCCATCGTTTTAGCCTTATCAARCTTCTGATGGTATTTCCCATTACATTCTCTTGAATCTTTTGCAGACACGAAAGTCCAATGAAAAAGTAAAACAACTTCATTCCCATGTTCCTAACAGAGTAGAAAGCAATGCATACTTGTTCTCAGTAGGTATTCTCTCCTGCATAAAACCCCTTGCCTTGATACCAGAGTGGGTTKTCATGTTTAAAATACACATGACACAGCTGCAAAACTTGTGCTGTTGTCCTGAACAAGAGGGTTTTCTGCATGCACAAAGAAACATCTCCATGTCTCTACTCTTACACTGTCACAACAGTGAAATGAATGAGCCCATATGAGCTTGCAGTTTAGAAAAAAGCTAAGCAATATTGTATTAAGCATAGCACAAATTAAAGCTGAAGTAACTTGTAGTACAGCAGAACCAGAAGCTCTGACATAGTGTTTTTTAAAGGCAGAAACAAATCTGGAAGTGATTAAATCCTGCAGTGCTCCCAAATATCCTCATGCAGTTATGCCAACAGGGCTCTCCCCTCCCCTTCGTCTGTGCCTACCCAGCTGAATACAACCTACTCTCTCAAATAGAGTTTTGGCACGTTCATTCCTGCTTTTCTCAACCGAAGACTATTTTAAACGCACTCTGTTAAACACTGAGGCCATTCACACAAAAGTTATTACAATTCACTTATTAAGATGCAGTTGCACAGAGGAAGCAAACCATAGCATTAATYCATCCTATTTGCAACAAGATGCCAGATAAATTCTAAGGTTGTTTTAGTACATATAGCTGTGAACCAAAAATGCTGTGTCCAGAAGACAGATTCTCTTTCAAATGACTTAGTGGGCAAAGTAATTTGTMAGTAATTATGCCCAAGTTCATCCTGTATAAACAACTAAGGAGCTGACAGGTTGTTTTCTATTCATAATCCAAATTTTTGGAAATAAATTTCCCAATCCACTTCTCAACAAATGTGCCAAAGACCAGATTTCTTGCATGTGCTTGTACTTGCAAGCACATTGAAAAAGCCATTTGGATGCTGAAGTATATACCAATGAGTATATTAACAACAATTCTATTTTCACTATTTTGCAATTGCTTTTTGCAAGATACATTCAAAACATTGTCTATAACAGYACAATCTGTATTTTAAAAAAGAGACACCACAAACTCCTGCAGTTAAACCAATTCATTAATGTAATCCTAAATTTATCTGAGAGAGTTCAAATTTATGGTTTCAAGGATATCTTAAGTTGTAAATATTAATTCCCAAGGTCCTGCCCTCCTAATTCACTCTGCAGGCACCACACAGTAGAGCACACGGACTTTTGTTAGACCATTGCTTTTAAACTATGAAAAAAAMCACAAGTACTTGTTCCAAGAGTATTTGTTCCAAGACGCTTGCCATCAACAGCTCCCACTTCCTTAGCTGCAATGACAGTTTTAGGCCCTTTAGAAAACACAATAAATCTCAAAAATTAAATTTATAGGAATATAATTTGATGCATTAATTTTCAGAATGTTGTTCATTTTATGTCTGCAATATACTACAGCAAGTAAGTGAACCATTAGTGTACAAGGTACGGAAAARTATCTGTGGTGTGTGTAAGTCAAAAATAAAATTACAAACTCTAGTCAATCATGGTTGATCTTTATTAACACTGGTATGTTAGTTGAACACTTGAATTATAGACATACTTACCATTTTACTTTATCATAGTTCTCTTGTCTGTAATCACCTTGCTGAATCAACTGCTTGGTATCAGCCAGTTCCAATGTTAAACGCTGGCATCTGACCTCAAGCTCTGATCGACTCCTCCTCTCATCTTCATAGCTCTAGGAAGTGAGACATTTTGAAATTATCACAGCTACACTGATATGTACTCAGAGTAATCACCAACTAAGTTTTGTGAGAACCTCTTATGAATATTCAAGTGGCGATATTTTCATTTGTCCCAGTCTTTGGAAATTTAGCACATCACAAAGTAACCAAAGTAATACTCAACTTATTTTTATCTTATTACAAATACTTGTTTAATGTACCTATTCCAGTGCCTTTGTCCATTAGCCCAACTTCCAAGACCAGTAACCCTCAAATATACAGCTGGTGGTCTGCAAATCTGTACTAGGAGCTCAAAAGTCATACCACCTTTACAACAGTTTCAAACAAGTGAAGATACTGTGAAGACACTTGTTAGTTAATTTGGAAAAAAAGAAAAAGCATGGCTTGCTCAGCAAGTTTGGCAACATCTGTCATTATGTGAAAGATTTCAGCCAGTTACTCCCAAATTGTAGCTATCATATCCAGTAACTTATGTTTGCTGAAGCATATCACAGAACACTTTGGTGGAAGGGAAAAAAAAAAGTTTAGTTAATGGTCGATCAGCATTAATTTCCATTTTCCTTTCTTTCTCCTCCTCATATACTTTTACAGATTATTCAGGAAACTAAAACAACAGAAGCAAATAAAGAGAACAGAGAATATTCATATTTTAAAACATTAGGTATTCCTTTTGAAGATCAGCAGATTTCCTAACCACACTCATTCCCTCCAACTATCCACAGGAATAGCAGACTTTTATACCTTAATCCCGAATCTAGACTATTTTTTAGTTTCTACTAGATACGTGCTTATTTCACAAACTTCTCTTATTCGTCCTAAATACTGTATTACTTAGTAATTTATTCACAAGAATAATTCTCATTCACTAACACAAGATAAAGGTGATGGACTTCAAAAARAGCTGCTTGTTAAAAATTTGAGAATACCCCTGGCTGTCTAGATTTTTCCATATCCTATTTCCCAAAATACTGCTGAGTTCAGTTTTCTATTGTTGTGACTGACAGCAAGCTCAACAGTGGTGACGCCTTCAAAAATAATAATTCTATCTGGTTATTATGAATAGACATCACAATATTATTAACTGCAGGTGAACATAGTCTTAAGATGTCATTAATAAACCAAGCACTTAGCCACTGCAAATCACATTTATTTTGCAGTAAAAGATACCGTATGAGTTTGTGTTTCACAGACGTTCTTACCTCCCCTTTTAAAAATCACTTTAAGTCACAAATAACAAAAATCACAATTCCCAGAAAGTTTTCATCAAGATTCTGGAAGGTCTACCATTAAAAACACATCATCCAAAGAAGTCATTGTTATTCATCCTAACACATACGGGTATATATGGTTTATTTTTATGTTTACCCTAATTAATGGGTATACATTAAGCAAACTAACATTATACAACACTGTCCTCTTTAATCAGTTTACTTGTTATTATTTATAAAGATGGCATTATTATAATGGTAAAGTGTTTGTCAGATATTTTTAAACGGTGTTATGCACAAGTTAGCTAAAGTTTCAAATATGTAACATAATGGTGCCAGTACCCTGTTTTGCAGTGCAAACATTAATCATCTGGAAATAGGAAATGCTGGTAAGGGCACTTAACTTTTAAGTGCAAATTGAAAGATTAAGTTTAGAATACAATTCTTCTGTGGGAATCCCATGCCATTCTGCTGCTAATACCATGCTGTAATTCACACACCCTTCAGCGAGAGGACTACTGAACTCCCTAGAGTAGCATTCCTCTGGCAGCCAGAAGACAACYAACAGAAGTATAAAATTAAATTGGTTAACCTCTGGACAAAGTTATCATAGACAGTTTTAAGTCAACAGTTAACAGAATAGCTAAATAGCTGCAAAATCAATTGCTTCTAATACCTGAGACCTAAAATTACTTTTCAATTGTATTTCATAGATCAGTTATTAGTGTTGTGTTAATGTCACGTAACAATAAGGTAATTCTAAGGAAGGAAGCTTAAATTCTTTAGAAAAGTGATACTAAGACCTACCTTAAATATAGAGATTTATAATGATTGTTTTTCAAGATTTCATATAATTCCTGAAGAAACACCAACTATACTGCACAGGCCACTGTTTTTCATCTACCTAATCTTAAGGTGTCAAAGTAGCATTTTAATCACATGAAGAAACATGACAAAGCAAGCTGACAGCCAGTGTAGGCCGTAAACAGGCTAATACACAAACCCCGCTATGTGATATGTATATCTCCAGGTAGCATATACACAACCTGCGTTCCACAGCAACACATCTTACAGAAATACAATCAAGCTGCCTGTGCTTAGGCAGAAGTTTTGCGTTACAAGTGATGAAGCTAATTTAGTTTCTAACAACGTCCTTATACCCAGAGATGATTTTAAGATSTCTGCAATGGAACAGCTTTATCTCTCCATTTATCTTCAAAAGATAGCTTCAACATGCTGATGAACAGCTTTATCTGGCTGCAGCAAAAAAGGGGCTTTTAGAAGAATCAAGATACAGAGCTCTTACAAGGACAGAAACAAGGTCCTGGAAATAATACCGATAAATAATAATAACTTGAGCTCACAAACCTTAAAATAATTTGAGGACAAACAGAATTTCCTCACACTGAATGTGACTGTGATAGTACTCCAAACTCGTCACGGCTTCTCTTCAGCCTCTTACTCATTTTTGCTTCTGCAGAGAGCAACAACTCAGACTGATRCGATGGTTAAAACAAACAAAAAAAACCAAACCTGTCATATGTGAGGCAGGCAAACATTGCCTAAAGAAATTCTTGACAGAGCTGTCTAAGAGAGCCAGTATTAACCAGTGCAGGTGGTTTCTAYAGGGCATGAGTCAGTCTCTCATGGGGATTGCCTTTTGGTTTACAAACACTCTCCACAGATGGATGTTTCAAGCAAGAAGACTCTCAACTTGGCTAATCTGCACAATTTAAAAGCCAAACTGAAAGAGAGACTAAAGACCTAATGGCAGCCCTCAGTTTAATGATATTAAACTTCAGAGCTACCCTCAGTATGGAAAGAATAGCAGTTTATAGCAGTCACTGAAATAAACACCTATCTGAATTTCAAATGYAAAATCCAGGTGACATACTTTTTGAACAATGTTAGTGACACATAATGCATGATAGGGATTAGCTGATCTTTCAAAATGCCTTTGGAGATAAGAGTATAAGCAGAAATGTAGGGAACAGATTAATCAGCCAATCAAGCAGAAGCAGCATGACTTCTTTACACTGTCTACAGATAAACCTGTGAAAGAAAGTGATCCTGCTTTTAAAAAGCTTTTTAAAATATCTCCATSTTTGAAGAAACACTTACAAAAGCCAGCACTTTGTTCATATCCTAAGGTATCTAAAGGCCTAGATAAATGCAAAGCTACTGTACAATTGTGATGTGAAAACCAATTTCCTCCAGKTATTTGAATGAGGTGTTGCTCCTTTGTAAAGATGACATTTTACTTCAATTGTTTACATACTCTTMATTCAAAAATTACTGGTCAGTACATTATTTATCAGAATGCAACTGCCCAAATGTCAGCAAGAAGCTATAYATAACTGGCTAAGTAAGAAAACTTTTTAGTAACTTGCTATGAAATTCGTAATCTGCTTGTAGATTGAAAATTTTTAATCTAATTGTAGATAGATCACTATTTCCCACTAAAAATTATAAACAAAAATGTTGAGCTACTCCAAAATAGAGAAACTCTGCCAGAAAAATATGAAAGAAAAGCTCTGGAATAAGTCTATAGCAAAAGAAAGTGGAGAAATAAAAAGTTTGTTTCACTGGATCTGAGCTTACTAGAATCCTCAGTGAAATATTYTCAGGTGAAAAGTATCCTTGACATCATTACAGAGTAGTATAATTAAATCACCTCATACTACTGAACCCCAGCTAGCATCAATGCGAGCTATAGCTATGTATAAAAAGCATAGTGAAGTATTGGGAGAGAAAAGGGAACTTCCATGGACAAGTAATTTCCTTGAGTCTTGGAAATGTTAAACTGCTGCCTCAAGCTCTTAGTTACTGATAACTTTGCATCTTTTTTTGCATCTTCTTTGCATCTTTTCTCTTGAACAATGTTAACAATAGTGAAAAAAAAATAGGCACAAATTTCACGTAGGACCAAGTCCTCATCTGTCTCATGAGAGTTGTAAAGACCAAATAAACAAGGCACTGCTTGAAAGAAGTGCGGTCAGGGGGCTGGAGAAGTGTTCTACAGTGCAGTCTTAACAGATATGCAAACTTCAGGGGACACCTTAGGGATCCCAGTCCTTTTGGAGTTGCAACAACATCCTCAATTTTCTAATATTCAGACATATCTAGTGCCAAGGGATCCTTTGAATATAAAAGCTTAGCTTATTCTTTGAAGACTATAGATATGTTTTTCCTCCAGCTGGAAAAGATTATCACAGAGAAAATTGTTAGTTATGTCTAGCAAAACCTGACAGCTACTAATCCTGATTCAGAGACACAGTCTTAGAAAAGATCTTTGTCCTACACATAACCAGCTTTGTCTTTATGATAACCACAGCTTTCAGATACTCTCATGCAATAAATTTTATTGCAAGTCCTGAAGGCAACTTTATATAAAAATAACTGAAGAAAAGGAAGCCCTGATAAAACTGTATCAATACCAAATTCCAGGAAAACATTGCCAAGAAACTCCCAGCCAGAAGAAGAAAGCAACATTTAATCTTCTGGAGGTACAAAGAAAAGCAAGATTTCCTTCCCACTCTCCCAGCCTTGAGAGAAAGCCATGAGTAGTAAATTACATCTGTTTGAGGGAAGGCTCTAAACACTTTGGAAGCAAACAACTCTGAAAATAGTAAACTGATGTTCAGCACGGGAATGCATACATCAGAAGCTGGTTTTATTTCTGGGAARCTCCTGGTAATACACCACTATAGCTGGACTTCCTCCTCTATCTTTACCTCCAAAGGTGGTGATGCCAACATTATTTATACTTGAAGTACTGAACACTGTAAAAGAAGGACTAAAACAAGCCTGTACTACATATTTAGTAACAAATCAGTCAGCACTGCAGTACWAGAACATGGCTTTCACCAGTTCCACTGCCTCCCCCGGGCTGTGGATGTTGTACCTGGAATCAGAGGAACTGCACTGGCCTAAATCACAGATGCAACAATTGTGTACAAAGAGCCACTAAATTAGCAGCTGTRCAGAACATGCACTTATACTGGCCACTTTAAAATCAGAAGGTAGCAGAACAAATGTCTTTTATCAGACCATGTTCCAGTTCTAGAAGTCAGTCTTCACAAACCATTTTCTACTACCACTGGCCAGAAACAGCTCCCGACCCTATTGGGTCTGTGTTACAGATTCAGCAGCCTTTRAGGGCTAAGAGCAGCAACACCAACAGAAGTTGACGAAGTTGTAGAGACAGCATGGTTGCCTTGTTTSATGAGCTGGCTTAACCTATTAAGATAAGTTGGAATTTTTCTTCAAACTTTTTCAATTCTTGGCTGGCTAGATAGACTTACCTATGAGTCTAGAACAAATTGTCTCATATTTCTTATGACTTTATTTCTGGGTGAATACATGCATGTATAAAACCTGCTCAAACCTAGTCTGTCAGCCACAAACTTCCAGAAAAACCAATAAAATCCTTGTCCCCCAAGATATTAGTAGCTAATAGAAAGATTTGGGCTAAGCACGTTTTTTTGTTCCTTTCTATATCTCAAAAAGAGGGAAGAAACCCATCTTCAAGGTCATTAAGAAAAGCCTTAATTATGTGCAAGAGTAGAAAAAAGAAGGAATGCTTACTATAGGAAGTAGCTTATTATCACGAGAGAAAAAAAAGAAAAAAAACAAAAACCAATTGCCTTAAATTCAGAACTTCAATCACTTCTTCATAAACTGCATGAGATGCATAGGTATGTCAGCTCCAGTACACCAAGCACATTAGGGATCTAAAGCACCCTCACACCCTGATGATGCTCGTTTTACCGTACTGTCTGAAGTACCTTGTTACAGTGAAACTCATCAAGTCACAAGGTAAAACTTGAACTTTCCAGAATCAAAATACAGAGACTCTTAAGTATTTCCATAAAAGAAAAGCACAGCACACTTTCAAATTTTGAKGAACAGATCAGTAGGAAAGGTGGATACTGCCACCATGTGGTGYAAAGAGAATAAAATAAGAAGTCTATTTAAAAAAAATGTCAATGTACCAAGAAAACTGTTTCTAGCACAACTTTAATTATTATTATTTACTATCTTGTTAATTTTCTTCAGCAAAAGTTAACATAGATGTCAGTCAAAACTCAAAGGCTGTAATACCTCTGTACAATTTTATTAAATCAAAGCATATTAAGGGTACAATGAAGGAAAATGCTTATGCAAGGTAAAATTAACAGGATTAGTTTAATCTCAGTTATGACTTGAGATCATGACACAAAATAATGCTGAAGCACATAAATGCATAAATGCTATTGACTAATTTCTCTAATTCAATCAGAATGAGAAATGAAAGTACATGAATTTCACAAGAGAAACTTGTGATTACATGTGAAACATGCTTTCTCTTTCCACCTTATTATTCCATAAGGGAATTTCACAGGGAAAAAGAGGCAGTCAGTAAACAATATTCTCAGAGGTAGTAAAATGACAATGTCATCTAAGTCCTGCAAGCCATGACCTGGATAAATATACTTTGAGTACCTGAAACTGTTGTCCTAATTCCAGATTTTTGCAGAACTAAGCTAAAGTAGAAATCACCCTAGCTACATACATACCAAGAATACTATAAATATTCATAAATACATTAGAAACAACATGCTTCTTATACTGTTTAAATGCAACTCCAAAGAACTTTTAAAAATGCATTTTTATAACATTAAAACAGAAGGTGAAGCAAATTGCTACCAAGACATTGGTGTCTGCAGCTGCTGCTGGGTGGATCTCCTGTCCAGCTTCCCAACCCTGAAACCTTGTCCTCCGAAAGCACAACACAGCTGGTAAGGTACTACCCTGAGCAGTCTCATGAGCAATTCTTGCAGGGTAGCCATTGCATAAAATCAGCTGTTAGACAAGGATGCACGTAGCTTATTTCCTCTTTCCCTCTCTATCCCCCTCTCTGCAGCAATTTTTATACAGCAAAAAAGCTTTTATCTCTTATACATGAATAACGATTTGGAGAATGAGATTTTCRCAATATATGGATTTACAGTTTCTTAACTGAGATAACTAAGAAGTACAGACCTCTGTCAGACACTTCAGCTGGGATCTGTACCCATTTAGTTCTTCTGTTAGACTCTCCTTTTTCATCTGTAGATCACTTAGCTCTTTCCTTAAGGAATGGACTACTTCATAGAATCGGACCTAGGAGAACAAGATAGATATTCAAAGTTGAAACTAGAAAAATTGCAATTGCGAAACTACAAACCGAAAAATACATTAGCTCAATGTTTTATGGCAATAATTTACCAAATTATTTCTAGGGCATGTCATAAAGGTAAAGATTATATTGCTGTACAACTAAGGCAGCTCCCAGTCAGGCTGTCCAATAAAAAAAATACAATTGGTCATGGAGCACATGGCCCCATGCACTTCCTTGTGCCAAAACTACAGCCTATTTGATTACAGAGAAAAAAAAAAGAGAAAAAAAAGAAAAATCCAAAACCCCAACAATCAAAAAACCTATTTAGCAATAACCAACTTAACTTGTTAACTTTCCCCAAGCCAATATAAATTTTATGGGATGTGTAGAAATGGAGAGAGATTCATTTTTGTTTTCTGCCAGCTCAGTGTACTGAATTTGTACCAAGAAAAATGCAAGAGCAAGCACAGGGAGTGGGAACAGCACACAGCCAGGAAGAACCATGACACCTCCCCCCTCTCCACCCTCCACCATACACACAACTTCGGCAGTAACATATTGCTATATAGATTAAATTGTATAAGGAAACTAAGGCTCTGAAAGACTTGCATGTGCTAAATTTACACCAAAAAAACCCCTACCTTCTTATAGGATTAAAAAAATTTAAAATCAGTAACACATACTCCTCTCCCTTCCCCCACTCTAGTCATAGGCAGGGTGTCAGGCAAGGGAGTCTCACATCCATAAAACTTATTCAGAACTTTTCTACAGATCAAGAAAAAAAGACTAGAAAATACAGTAGTAAAACCACAAAGTCAGTATTAAAAACCAAAAAGAGACAAAACAAAGAAGAAAGAGCTTTTTTGATATACACCCACACACACGTACACAGAGAACATTACTCCCAGATAAACTTGATACCTTAAAATGTTGCATTTGGGGGTGTGAAAAGAATACATAATTAAGCATTGTTTTCATATAAAAGCTACTGCATACCCTYCATCTCTAATGCTTTCTTTGATATATGATTAAAGAAAGACAGGCAAGAAAGCACAAATTAAGTAAGCCTTTAAGAGCAAGCTGTACTACACTTCCATGCAGAAGGAAGACAACCTGTAAACAGCAGCAAATTCCAGGTATATTTCATATAATTGACAGCATAGAATTCTAAAAAACACAGAAGCCTTAGAAATTTGCAGTGTAAACACAGGTGTAGCATGCTTTATACAATAAGKCAAGCATGCTACATGGTTGGAAGATTAGTCTTTTTAACTGTAACATCTGATGATTCAATTGGTCATTTTTAAAGAAAAAAGACCAAAACCTTGATTATAACTAATTGGTAACCACTTAAAGCATTGTTTTCTTAAAACCACACCTGCTTTTCCAGTAAGTCCTTGTATTTTTACTGCAATTTCCCTAGGAAACCTAACTTGTGATGTCACACTGCAATTATTTCCCAAAACAGAGCAACCTTAAAACAGATTCCGGTGTAGAAACCAAGATTACAAGAGATACAGGTATCAACGACAAGTGTACTTGCACAGCCTTCCCAAAAAAAGATCCCTGCACAGTAATAAAGTACAAATAAATGCAGCAGATGAGGGTGAGGTTGTAGCACTTCAACTGTTTTTCCTATTTAGGTGGTTTGAGTGCCAATAAACATTCATGTAGCCCAGCAGTCAAAGCACACACTGCCTCTTGCCAACTCAACACTGCAGAAACAAAACTCACTGTAGGAGGGATTTCAGAAACAACTGCCTTCTTAAAAATCACAAATTCACATTGATGTGCTATAACCAGTTACCACTTTCTAGAGAATTTWAAAAACCTCTTAGCATGTGTCCACCACTTTTTATGGAAAACTAGAACTAAGTAAAAATGAGTAGGTGCAGAGGATGAAAAAGTTAGCTTCTGTTAAATGAAGTTATGTGAAAGCAGCTGCATCAGTTAACTGCCTTCTTAAACAAACAGCAACTGKGCTGCAGTTASCAAAGTGCTACATCTGAAAGACATRTCAATTAAATCAGTTCAAACAGAATTTGCAGATATACTTTTTAATTTGCTGAAAAATTTTCTACAGCGGAGTACACAAGCGGTTCACTTTACTGAGCAAACTGAACTGGTGCTTGGCTGAATCATTTAACAGCCTGAAGTGCTCTAAAATTTCACATATACTGTTTCTAAAAACATCTTAGAAATTACTAAATGAAAGTCTGAATTTTTACATGTAAGTTCAAAACAAAAAGTATAATTTTAAGAGAAAGATGCTTAAAATTTTTCAGTTGTCATCATTAGCATTAAACATTACCTAGGCTTTGTTCCAACGTCACTATTGCACCCCTTTGTGGAAGAACAATGAAAAACATCACATTTGCTTTAATTCCAGTATTTTAAACTTACAGTATTTCTATATAAAAAAATCTGCATTTAAGCTCTTCCTGCTGTTTGTTCAGTACACCAGGTTTCAAATGAAGTCTAAGCATTACAWACATGTTTACTTCCATCAAGAATTGCAAGGCACTATTTTATAATAGATAAATAGAAAAAAAGAGTTGAAAATTTCTTGCTCAAGCTGTCTAAGCAGGACCCTTTCTTGACAAGGAAATTGTACCCTAGTATCAGTAGGCTATATTACTAGTCTGCACACGGATTTGGAGCTAGAAATTTTAACTGCCTGAGAAATGCACAATTCCTCCTTAGGCAAACACAGCAGAAAACACCATTCCCTTCAAAGTCCTTTTCCTGGCCTTTGGGAGCCAAATAGATGCACAGACAGGATATGCAAAACTATTCTRTAGCATCCCAGCATCTGTATCAGCTGCATAACTCAAAGTAATGATAAACAACCACCAAACTTAACTGATACGTTTAGGTTCATGCTACTCCTCTGCTAAAAGAAATCAAAAAAAGCAGAAGATAGCATCTTACTACAATACATCTTTAGAATTCTTTATCCAGGAAAAAAGGTCTAAAAATGACTTCTTCTAAAGAAAAGATGATGTGTGAAGAAAGAAGAGGCTTCACTGAACATTTAAGTAGAGGAATTCTTGTCACAGACAAAAATAACATTTACTGGTTGAATGYAAAAGAAAAGAAGGTTAAGGGTAGAAGGTGGCTGCTACTCATCTCTCCCACTTCACATCTTTTTGACAACCATTTTCTACTCACAAATTAAATCTAAATTGTGCTGTGACAGTTTCACTTAAAGCAGATGACAAGATTACTAACTCATGGTATCTGTCTTGCCTGGTTACAGAGTCTTTTGTACTGAYTGTCAATCAAATCCTGAAGTCCTGAACTTTCTGCACACCAATTCAATAGATCCATTGACATGGATTTCAGTTTCTGTTAAAAATCTGTGATTTTTGACCATAGTGATGCCAATCAAAATCCCCTCCAATATTTCTGCAGAGGGCAGAGTACAGCAGACAACTATGGAGCAATAACCTAACAGGCCCCAAACTACATATTCTTATTTATGACTTTCCTAGCACTTTCAATAACCCAGATTTTAAAACATGTTCACAARAACATCTTTAGATAAGGGTGACAGTTGTTACTTCTCTGTTCTTATCAAGAGAAGTGTATACCAAGACATTGATCCAGAGAATTCATTCATGCTTCATTTATACCTCAATGAATGTACTAAGGTTTTTAACATTGTATTATTTACAGCTTYGTTAAAAACAAGCTCTATAGGTAAGTTCAATGCTACTACTTCGGTGAATTAAGGTTTACATGTCTAATTCTTCTTGATCTTCATAAGTGACCTAGGATGCTCTGGACATGTCCCACAGCCTTTTTATTGCAAACAAGTACACCGTGGCCTCTCTATACAACCACAAGCCACAATTAATAAACACATTTAATCAGGATAGGAGTCTTAAAGTATACTGTCAGGTACACTTTGTCTCCTGTGTTTAGTCAAATAGGAAAGGGACATGAGGAAAGCACAAGAGAAAAGTAAGAGATGTTTGCAAGAGCCATCCCAACTTGYGGTTCTGGCAAGCCAAGTTTCAAATTCCTTTTTCCAGCCTACTGTGTTTCCYGTCATCAGTGTGTGCTCACATTTTAATTGTAACACCCCCTTTGCTTAACCTCCTTAAAGTACATCAGCAGTTCTACCCTCTTTCAAGACATCAGAAAGGTTTAAAGGATTAAAAGGTTCCTCTCTTTACTGGAACCCAGTCATAACATACTGATCTGGAAACACATCTGCCCCTGAAAGTCCCTTATTTCTAGTTGGAGATGGAAAAAACCACAACCCACCACAATTTAGAGCTTGTGGTAGGTTGAACTTGCCCAGCAGCCTATATGGCTGCTCACCCACTTSCTGCCTCCCCTGGAAGCAGGACAGAGAAGAGAGTGAGAAGAACAAAATCAAGAAAACTCAGGTGTTGAGTTTTCTAAACAATTACTGAAGGAAAGAGAGGTGAGCTTGAAAAAMTAAAAAAGAAAAAGCAAAGAACTCACCACCTYCCAGAAACTGGGGAGACTGATCAAGACTGATACACAATCAGTCTCTGAGTAATAACACCTTGGAAGGTCCACCCCCCACCTCCTCTTCCTCTATCTCCAGCTTATATACTGCTGACTATGAGGTCAGGTGGTATGGAATATTCCTTTGGCCAATTTGGTCAGCTGTCTAGCTGAGTCCCTTATCAATCTCCTGACTATTCACAGCTTGCTGGGGCAGGGGGAGGGAGAATGGGGAAAAAAGAAAGCYKTGATGCTGTGCAAGCACTGTCCARCAATAGCCAAAACACTGTTTTAGACATGGGTGCAAAGCACAGCAAGATTTGGACTGCTATGAAGAAAGTTAATTCTGTCCCAGCCAGACCCAGGATATACAGATTATATTTTAAACCAGTACAAAACCCAATACTCACGGAAACATATTCAGGGATAGAAAGCTGATCTTCAGAAAGAGACTTTAGCTTCTCATAGGATTCATCTGTTAATTCCAAGTCTCGCAAGCTACGACGGATATCTCCAGCCCTCTCTCTCAACTGATGATTTGTTTCTTCCAGTTGCTTCTGTCTCAATAAAATAGTTTCCATTTCTTGTTTCATTAGAGCCTGATGTTTCCTTCAAGATGGATTGGAAAACAAAAGGTAGCAGATAGTGAGTAACACAAGTGMCAAAGCTTCACAATACCCTGACAAAGCAGTGAGTTGTGTTCATTTTATAGAGGGATGAGTTTACAAAGGGTAATCAGTGCAAGAGTGTATACCACCACAGCTATACAGACATATCAGATACTACATATATAAAACCCAGGAACTTTATACTCATTGACAATACAAAGCTGAATGTGAGAAAAAGCAATCTCCCCATATGATGACTTGAATTTATGAACTAAACCTAATTTACCAATTAAAAGGTTAAAAACAGAAACCAGACAAAGCAGAATATATTTCCACACAAACCCTAAGGAACTAGCAAATCACAAATAAACAATAGAAACTTGAACTTTCAGCTTATCAAAGTACCAGCACATGCAGTCATGACCTATTCCATATACAACCCTTTATTTTCTAACCACGGTAACACACGAAGTTCGAGTCCTTTATTAGAAAAAACAAACAGCAATAAATCAACCATTACTATAATAAAACAAGTAGCCTTGCTTCCAGCCTYAAAACACCATCACTACTATTATCACCAGTGAGAAGGTATTATACAGCAAGAGAAACTGCACATCAGTTAATGATGTTGAGAAGTGTTTATTTGATTTAAATCAAAGACAACTAACCTACTTTTTTTTCTTTTTTAGCTGTAACTCTTGAAAACTTATGCAAGTCACTCTTTACAAAATGGTCATTTCTGCATTACTTAAAAAGGAATAAAAAAATATTAACTAGTACTACAAGGCAACGTCTACACCATTGGTCTCGAAAAGGTAATAGGAAATCTGAGGTCAGCAAAGCAGTCACATAAGGACATAAGTCACAGACCATGGTGTGTACATTTGTGTTAAACGAGGATGAAAAGTGAAGTAAAAGACCGATAAGAAAACTAATTAAAAGATTAGGAAAAGTAGTGTAACTGTTTCATGCCTATTAATAAAAGTTTGCACATCAGCACTTTTTTACTGAGCACTCCTTAGACAACTCAAACATGACCAGCATATTTCACTCTGGTGCATCTAAGCATCCAGAATGWCATACATTTCTCTGACAATCAGTGGCTCTTACATGGAAGACTTTGCTGTAACTAATCTCAGGTGTCCCTTCGCATCCCTAAATCTGTTCTAGCCTTGCTATAAAACTTGACTTGGAATTAGTGACATCCCACAAGGTCTATTTAACATGAAACTATGTAAGTATTGCCCTTCATTCACAGGTGTTAAGATATTTAATTGACAAAATAGCTGGGAAAAGCCAGCCTATTTTTCAGGTTAACTCAAAATATTTCAGAAAAACAACATGGAAAGTGAGTTTCTATGTCATCAACAGAAAGCATTTCTGACAAGTACTAACTGGAAATGCTAAAAATTATACACTTAATTTCCCCAAATCATCTATGCTGCAGTTATTAAAAATTCTATTTAAAATGATGGAAATTCTGCCATGTCCACCTAGTCCTTTTGTTCTTTATTGGTTTTAAGAACATTTTTACTCCCTCTTCCTAAGTTTGAATTAWGGTAACACAAAACCAAACCCACAAACTTCAGCCAGTGAGAATTGAATTCAAATTTACTTATATGTAAATTAAATATTTTATGTAATGTAAATTCAATTTTTAGAATGAAAACACTAACATAATCTGCAAAAGAAATCCTATTCCTGCARCTAATAATTATCTGTTTCRGTTAATAACTTAYTTATATAAAATCAAATTAATTCATKAATTTGTTAACATTCTTAATTTTACTTCCATCATACCTGGCATCTTCTTGCTGTAATGCCAACTGACTATCCAGTCGTAAAGACAACAGCTGCTTTTGATGGATTGCATCATTAAGCTTCTCCTCTAGCTCTTCAATCTAAATATAAAGAATGTGAGTATAAAATAAAAAAAAAAAGTTACCATATTAATTAAAAAAAAATTTACAAAAAGAAGAGCCCAATACTGTGGGAAGGGCAATAATGGCTAACAACACCTCTAAATACACTAAGGCTTCAAAGAATATGATATAAATTTTGTCCCAATGAACTAAAAATAAAAAATATTTAGTTCTTAAATGGGTCTTTTTCAGTCAAATAGCTATTTGTTCAACTAATTTCAAGTCAGGCTTAAACTCAGAGCAGCAAGCCAGAGAAATCAACAGTTAGCATACAGTATGTCGTAGAAAGGAACTGTACACAAATGTGGCAAACTTTTTGCACCTTTCTTAACGGCATGCATTTTAGTCCACGCTGTACACAACAAAATCTACTATTARCATCTTGGTATATTCTAGCCCCATCTTCATTAACAAAGCATGAAAAAGTATTCAGATCACTTTTTTTTTGAATTCCACAAGCTGAGGTTCAAAGCCCTTTCATGCTGCTAACATGAGTGACAGAATTATTCTTCCTTTCTGAAAGAAAACAGTTGTTTTTCCTTTGAATTTAGGAAAAGTAAAACTAACTAGATTCCCCCTCATATATTTAAAAGTATAATGATTTGAACAACGGAGCTATCTGCATTTTTGTTTCCTTTWCTTCTCATTAAATAACGCAAACAAAACACACAAAGAAAACCATAAATCCAAGTAGATCTCTCTCATATAATTTAAATAAATTCTTTTTAAAACATAAGTTYTGATCATGTTATAAAAGCATCAAACCCAAGAAAAGGTTATATAATRAAAGGAGAAACAGTACTTACCTTGGTCAAATATTCAACTTTCAAGTTGTCAATCATCAAGTTTTTTTGTGATAATTCTATTTTAAGCAGCTGAAGATTATGGAGCAACTCCTTCCGTTCAATCAGCTGCTTAGTGATTTTCACAGTACCTTCTCTCTCTTCAGAAGAAGAAACATCATCGGTTGGTACTGTGGTTTCTAAGCTGATATCCTCAGATTCCAAGGAGCTAGAAGCGTTTACTTTCTTGATTGCCTTAGAGCTTCTGTGTGACATTTTCTTCCACTACTTACAAAGSTTTTTTAAGCTATACCTTGAGATGAGCCCCCTGAAGAATAAGCTGCAAGAACCAAAATAATTAAATGAAATGTCACTATGAAAAACTAACCAGTTAAATTAGACCACTAAGCAAGCGATACTTCTCAGTATCACATGACCTTTTTTTCACCCAAGAAAAACATTTTGAGAAGCCCTGAACAGRGCTGCTGCCTGAGGACCCTCTTCCTAAACAATCAAGCATTTTGACTAGAATAAGTTAAATACCAGTGTGAACACCWGTGTGAATCTAGCTTACTAGTATGATACTATAATTAAAGATGTGCACCTTGTCAAGACTCTCGAGACCCACCAGGCATATACTGTGCCAGAGAGCACCTGGTACGAGGTATAACACAACTTACTGGAAAAAACTTTAAAGGAATACTTTGATCACAGAATCATAAAGGCTGAAAAAGACCTCCGAGACCATCGTGTCCAACCTATGACCGAACATCCCCTTGTCAACTTCATTATGGCTCTGAGTGCCCCGTCCAGACTCTCCTAAACGCCTCCACGGACGGCGACTCCCTCACCTTTGTGGGCAGTCATCCCAACACCTAATCGCCTTTTCTGGGAAGAAATTACCCTTAATGTCCAACCTAAGCCTCCACTGCTGCAGCTTGAGACTTTGTCCTCTTATCCTGTCGCTGGGAGAAGCGCCCGACCCAGACCGGGCCACCAACCTCCTTTCAAACCTTGCTGGCCTTTGCGTTAGCAGCAGCAGCTGCACTGTTCTTACCAGCCTGCTCGACCCAGCAGCCACACGGACTTTCACAACCACCCGGCACAGAGCACGGCTGTTACTTACAGACGGCGCTGCTCAGAGCCCAGCAGGGAGAGGAGCCGCCGTGCTCGGAGCCCGGGTCAGCCACAGCCGCGGGCGGCTCTCCGGGGCCACCACCACCCCTTCCTTCCCGACAGCAGCGGGGGGCAGAGGGGATGATGTTCGTCCCGCCGGATGCCCAGAGCTGCGGAAGGCAGGGGGCAGCGGCGGGGGCCGGGGCAGCAGCAGCCCTGGCCGGGCCGGTCCCCGGGGCAGCCCCCGCACACTTCAGGCAGCGGCGGCAACCGCAGCGCGCGCGCTTCCGTCTCCCCGAGGCGCGACGGGGGCGGGGCCAGGCGTTACGCCATCACCGCGGCGACCGGCGCGCCGCTTCCTGCGCCCTCCCCGCTTCCATTCCCGCTTCCATTCCCGCTTTCATACCGGCTTCCCGCCGCTTCCCGCCGCTTCCCGCGGCCCCCGCGYGCCATGCTGACCTCGCGGACGTTCGTGAAGCGCACGCGGGCGGGCGCGGTGGTGAAGGTGGTGCGCGAGCATTACCTGCGCGACGACATCGCGTGCGGCGCCGCCGCCTGCCGCCTCTGCCCCGCCGCCCCCGCCCCCGGCACCGGGAACGGGAATGGGAACGCGAACGGGAACGCGCCCGGGCTGGAGGCGCGGCCCAGCGGCCCCGCCAGCAGCCTCTGCCCCGGGCCACACTTCCTCCTGCCCGACACCAACCTGCTCCTGCACCAGGTGAGCGGCTCCGGGAGACGCGGATGGTGTGGCCGCCTCAGGGCTGGGGAGGGCCCGTCGCCGCCTTCCCCTGGGCCCCACCGGGATCCATGTGGAGGCTTAAGCCTTCCCTACGCCGGCCTTGTTAAATCCCTGTGGGTGTAAATTACCGTGTGGGTTCCGGCGTTCCGCTGGAGCGGGGCATTTGGCAGCGCGCTGCGGGCTTGGCTCTCCTGGTTTCCTGTGGCTSCTTGATCCCTGCCAGGGTAGTCTTTTCTTTCCCTGTTAGGTCTGGAGAGCAAGGCTGTAGCATCAGAAAGCCTGGTCTGGTCTTAGACTGTGCTCCAGGTTTATGGGGGGAGGGGGGAGTGAGCTTATGCGTGTGTGTGTGTGTGTGTGTGTGTGTGTATGTGTGTGTGTGTGCGCGTGTGTGTGCATGTGGTTTTGTTTGTCTTGGGTTTTTTTAATGGTTTTATTTGTTATTGTTTTGTTTGCTTTGGTTCTTGTTTTTTCTTGTTCGTGCCTGAATGGTAGGAATAATGAACAGTATTTATTTATTTATTTTGCTCGTTGTCTGATATGAATATGACAAGTCAAGCAGAGAGAGGTGGTAGACTTTGAAATAGAGATTGGGATCTTCGTGTCATTGCTGAATTTTTGGTTCTTCATGTGGTCACTGAATTTTCCTAATTGCCTCTTCTATTTTTCAGGATGTAGGTTTATGTTCTTTATACTGTGAGATTATTTCATGTAGTGAATAGAAGGTGCGAAATCATCCCAGGTACAACTCTGGAATCATGAGAGCAATTTTACTCTGAAGCCCATCCATAGCTGTAAAAAGATTTGATTCTGAGCAGGGCAAACAGTAGGCTTTGAAGCTGGGAAGAATTCCCAAGACTGATGTTTAACTTTTTTCTTTGTTTTTGARTACCTGTGTAGAAGGTAGAATAGCCCTGTGCAGACATTGAAGACTGGAAGTAATTCATGAATCCTAACACTGAGTAGCCTGGAGAGGAGCACAACACATGTGTTTTAGCAGTTACACATCCCAAAAGTCACAAGGATTTTCTTCCCAAAACAGCATGTCGAGGGATGTTTTCAGTCTGTAAGTGTGTCTTACAGAATGCTCTGAGAATACCAGAGTATGCTGCCACGAGCTGGAGAAGAGGGGATTTGGAAGCCTTGGTTGTCACCGTAGGGAAAGGTTTGGCCTAGAAACAGAAATGAGTTTTGCCACAGTAAGACTTGGCCTGATGCTTCAACTTGTGCATAGAATAAGGCTGGATTTCTTCCCCTATGAACATGACTCTGAATCTTTCAGGTAGTGTAACYATCAGGTTCACAGGAGCTTGGTCTTGTATTGCTTTTAATTCTCTTAGCTATGCCCTCTAGAGCCTTACTGCTGTCTCACTTTGCAGGTGACACAGGCTTCGGAAGTGAAGCTCCCATCTTTTTTTCTCCTAACAGGCTACACGGATCTCAAATGTGCATTTCTCTATCGTGTTGTCTGGAGGTGGTAAAGAAAAGTTTAACAAAATTCCTTAAAAAAAARRAAAAAAAAAGTCTTTCCAAAGCAAAGAGCAGCTAACAGAATTCACATTGATTTGACTCTGTGGAAATTGAAATTTCAGTTTAACAGTGGGATTGTTTCTGGAGAACTCAAGCCTATACATGCATAGGTACATCAGCTGTGTGAGGGTAGTTGGGTACCATTTTATGGCTTGCATTCCTCACAAAGGCAGATAGCCTATAAATTCTATCAGATTTCTGTCAGATTGTGCATAGTTGTAGTCTGTTTACTAAGGGTAAATTTTATAGGAATACATTTTATGTAAACAAAGTACAAAAAGGTGTACTATATACTTGACCTTACATTTATTTGGAATCCTGCGTACATTGGGAWTGTATGCAGGATTATACATCTGTTAGAAGTCAGAATAAGTCCTTTTCTTCACTTCAGGTCACAGAGAGGCAAGAAAATCCTATTTGATTTTTTTTTTCCCACAAGGAGGAGAAAGCAKCTTAATACACTCTTCAGTTTCCCAATGGTGAAAGAAAAGGGCAGAAATAGTGCCACTCATTATTCGTGTTAGCTATTCATGTTTTAACTAAGGAAATATTTAAAGTCCTATTGTTGGATAGAATTAAACAGCAATTTAGATGCATTTCTGTTTTGTTCCTCAGATTGATATTCTTGAACATCCTGTTATCAAGAATGTCATTGTGCTGCAGACAGTCCTGCAAGAAGTCAGRCATCGGAGTGCACCAGTGTACAAGCGAATTAGGGACGTGATTCAAAACCCAGAAAAACATTTCTAYTCTTTCACCAATGAGCATCACAGGTAAAGTGTGGAATGGGGTATAACAAAGCTGTGCTGGTATCCAGTAGAATAAAGTGGGAAACAGAACTGGAACATGTGAACTGGAAGAAAAACKAGACTGATGTGCATAGACTTGTATRCATTTCTAAGGAATCCTGTTGGGAAACAGTTGATGTTACAGGAGTTTTTCTGTTTATAATTAGTATAARTCTATATATGTTATGAAAAGGAGGTTAGAATATTGAATAAGCTTTACAGACAGCGCTGTTATCTTGAGCAATAGGATACTAATTTTCCATTTTAGTGTCCCTTTTAAACATATTCCAGTGCTTTATCAATATTATCAGCTTAGTCTGTAGCAGAATTAAAAAGTCCATTAAGTTAGTTACAGAAAGCTCTAAGAAATCAAGATGCAAATAGCATTAGCACACTATTTGTGCTCRCAATTAGTTTCCAGTATTGCAGTTTTGTAGTTCTAGGAATCTTTAATCCTTAGTTCTAATAGCTTAAATATAAACCTCTTCAGCTGCCTGTGAGAAAGTTGTATTAGAAATTAACACTTCCTTGTTTCCTAACATCTGTYTTTTGGCTCTTCAGTGGCCTAAGGAGTGTTACACAGATTATAAAAATTGGTACAATAATGATTCTTTTGGCCTAAGAGCCTTGATCTTGTTTCTAAGAATTCTTTTTTAAGATATGGATGGATGTTGGGATTTGTTTTATTTTGTCAAACACTCCCCTTTGTTTTCAAAATTTATTTAGAGAAACATACATAGAGCAAAAGCGAGGAGAAACTTCTAACGACCGCAATGACAGAGCCATTCGGGTAGCAGTGAAATGGTACAATGAACACTTGAAGAAAATAGAGGATGAGGAGAATATTCAAGTTATCTTTTTAACAAATGACAGAACTAATAAAGAGAAAGCTGTGGAGGAGGGGATAACTGCTTATACGTGTAAGTGAAGTGGTATGTATGTTTAATTTATTGCTCAAATAAACTGAGCAGTCTCTTCATACCTAAATCCCTTAAACGAACCTCTTGCATAAATATTTATGTGTGTGCTTTTATAGGTGAGGAGTATATAAAAAGCTTGACAGCTAATCCTGAGCTTGTAGATCGTCTTGCTTGTGTAACTGATGAAGGGGTATGTTTTTATTTTCTTTTTATAAAATAAAATAATCTAAAATGGCTTGCAGTATAATATTGGTTRCTGTATGTCAGGGTAATGACATCAATTTAGAATACAAGAAGTTTGGACTTCATTACCATTTTGGCAATTTAACTTTTTGGCAACTGTAAAGCTAAAAAGAAATGTTGCAGCCGTTTTCAGTTGTGCTTATATACCTGTTGCTAGGTGTCTACTAATGAAAAGTAGGGTACTTTTCACTATCTATTGAAAAGCCAAGTTGCTTTAGATAACTGTTGTGAAAATGAGAATAATAATGGTTGGTTGAATAAAGTGTATAAATATGAGAAATAATTGGAACAGAATGAAAGCACACTATATTGCAAACCATTTAGATTTTTGTTTTATGTCTGCTGGAAGATCTATGTTAAATTATTGATCCAAAGAATTTTAATTTGGTGATTAGTTAAGTTGACATAAATGCAGGCTGCGGCTCGAAGATGAGCCACATCCTCTTCTGTTTCCTCGTGTTTTGTGTTTCTCAGAATCACGACTTACATATTTGCATACTACTGATATAGCTGAACACTCGCTGCAAAAATGGGAAAGTTAATTTCATCAGAGTTAGTTTTARCAGRATAGARCTCTATGCAAGAGTGGGAAGAAAGYGGAGGAYGTACRTGTTYTCAGCAGTTAACTATAGATCAATCATGTGTAAGCAACTGTCTGACTACTCCGAAGTTTAGTCTCAGTAATCTGTTTTCATAATGTTTCCTATAGCTTACAGTATATACACTGTGTGCCATACTCTTTACTGCACTAATATTTTCTTTGTTGGGTATCTGTTTAGTCACTTTATCCATATCAGCATAAAAGTATATATCACTTGTGCAGTATGTTTTTATGTAACTGCAGGAAATCAGGAAAAGTTCCTTGAATTGCCATGTTTTTATGCTTTTGATGCTTTATTAGAAAAATACTGCTTAATAATAGTTTCTCATTATTGCACATATTCATACCTACACACAGTCGCATTTAGGGAGTTTGTTAGCTTAAGTGTGTCATGTTCCTGAGCTCTGTTTTTAGAAATTAACATGAATATAAAATATTGAAAATTTCCCTTTCTTCTTTTTTACTAAAGAAAGAAATAGAAGGCGGAAAAATAATATTCCCAGAACATATTCCTCTTAGCAAATTGCAGCAAGGAATAAAATCTGGTATTTACCTCCAAGGAACTTACAGGGCAAGCAGAGAGAATTATCTTGAAGCTACCGTTTGGGTTCATGGAGATGCTGAAGAAAACAAAGAGGTGAGTTTTTCATTTTACCTTCATACTGTAAACTTTAACTAGCCTCAGTGATGACTTAACGTTTAATTCTTGCATGGTGATATGTATTGAAATGGAGAATATTGATAATGCTTTCCTCTTCTGTTTTTTTTCTSATGTTTTTGCTGATGTTTTGTATGGTTATAGATTGCTGGAATGTTCACTATGTTCTCTTTTAAAGAAAATAATGTATTTAAAGTTACAGTTTGATAAAGTCATTGGTAAAATAAAGATGAATCTTGTTTGTTAATAGTTTTTCAATTGACTCTTAACAGTTTTTAAAATCAGTTCGAAATACATGGTGAAAGACAGAGGAACGAGTGTRTAGGATTTTCAGAAAAAAAACAGTCATGAGCCCTTGTGGGTTTCTCCTGCTTTGTTTCCCCTGCTATTTTCTTGCTTGGTGAGGAGTAGATGGGCTGTTTCCCACCCAGCAATTAATCTATATGTCCACCTGCTGGATTCTCAGCTGGTGCAGTTGTACAGATGKTGTTTCCAAGCAGTGGCAGTTGTCTTCTCCCTCTCTGTTTGTGGCAGCTGGAGGTACTTGTTTCTTTTATTCCTCTTTCTTGTATGTAGAATCCCCTATCCTGCAAAAATGGGATTGTCTGACTTAACCAAAAAAAAACCTCCAAAACCAGGGGGAAAACATATTTCTTAYAGAAGCAACTGGAATGTCTAAATAAGATCATGTGTACTGTAAGAAGCCTCGGTAGAGGAAAATAGTGTATCATGCTTTTAGATGTTCTTTGGAGTGCAGAGCCTGTCATATATGTTTACTTTCCTCTTATACTCATTAGATTTGGGTCTTCTGTTTTCATAATCATGAATGTTTGCATTTCCATTTTGTTTTTTAAAAAATCCAGATAATTGTACAGGGACTGAAAAATCTAAACCGAGCAATTCATGAAGATATTGTAGCTGTGGAGCTGTTGGCTAAAGATGAATGGGTGGCACCATCCTCAGTGGTCTTGCAAGATGATGGYCATAATGAAGAGGACATTGAAAATGAAGAGGAGAAAGAAAACATTGTATGAAAGAAATAATTTTACTTAACTGGTTTTAGTGAACAGATGAAAACTCTGGTGTCCTGACAGTGTTAGGCTTTAGATTTAGGCATTTTATAGAACGTGAATGCAGATATTATGATACTCAATTATAGTTGTACAGTTGTGTTGAATACATGAGAGTGTATAAAATGTGTCATTTTTAATTAGTCTCTGCTAGAAATTCCCACGTTAGTTATTAAGCTTAATAAATCCAAAGGTTACTGGATGGCAGTCGTGTAATAATGTAAATCTGTATATACCGCTGTACAGATTAGGATTTGTTGGGGTAGAAACAGGTATTGAATCATGCTGAAAGTCCCCTTTTAATGGCACTACATACATTTGGAACTTGTTTTAAAATATTTTTGGGTCTTGCAGTAATTCCACTTAATGTGTATCGAATGCACATATATGTATGACCTGTACAAGAAGATAATTTCTTTAAAAATAGTCTTTTCATTCAATTTCATAAGAACATTTTTTAATGATTATTTGGAGCATTACTGGAGAATTTTCAGGCAGCATAAAATCATTCCTAAACTGGTTTGGGTTTTTTTTAATGGACATTGTTTCAAAAAATGAAAAACAGCAGAGAAAGACTGAGCAACGCTGTCTTCTCCCACTGTYTCTACTAACTCACAACTAAGCAGTTGTGTCCCGTACTGAAAATATTAAAAGTCATGCAAAGCACAGGGAGGCACAGGAGGTTCTGTTTATGAAGTTGTAACAGAATTTATGTTGTTATAATGAGTTACAAAATGTTGCTGCTAAGGTTTAAGATGTGTACTGTAGTCAAACATGATTTCAAAAACAGTTTTGCATTTTTAACCTGTGTTCTACCAGCTGAAGACATCTGTTGACAAGGACATGCTAAGGCCTACGGGAAGAGTGGTAGGCATTATAAAACGAAACTGGCGGCCGTATTGTGGCATGCTTTCCAAGTCACAGATCAAGGAGGTGAGGAAATRATCCACTTATTCTAAGTGCAGGGTTTGTTTTTTTCTTTAATTGGAAATTAAATTATTGCTTTTTCTGGTTGTTAATAGGCAAGGCGCCATTTGTTCACACCAGCTGATCGTAGAATTCCTCGCATTCGAATAGAGACCAGACAAGCAGATACATTGGAAGGACAAAGGATAATTGTTGCTATTGATGGTTGGCCCAGAAATTCTAGGTATCCTAATGTAAGTTTAAGCATTTTCTTCTGAACTTTTAACTATCTAACTTTTTGTGTTTCTTAGGTAAAATATTTATTTTCTGCAGCACTGAGTAACTGCAAACAGAAATTTTAAGTTCTTTGAGTACCATTTGATGGTGCAAATTAAGGAAGTCCCTAAATTATTTCGTTTGCTCTTACCACCAGCTATGTGGTTATCATACTTAAAAAGCTTACTCATCCAGTTCTTCAGTGAACATACATGTGCTACTTAAGGTGCTTTATATAGACTATCCAGGGACTTGTTTTAGTCTGAGTTCCTAGGAATGTGAACCTTTTGCTCTATTTTTGCTCACCCACACATACCAATCACTGTTCTGGCAGATATGTGACAAATGCACCAAATACAATCAAATTGCCAGTTGATTAAAAGTAGTTAACAGTTCAGTGTAAATAATGGAGGGTATGTGAGAAACTGAGGATACTGCCTTCCATGTGTGTTGAACACTAGCCAGGTTTTGAGGAGTCTTCCAGTGGCTCGTGTGGATATGCACAACTTATAATGAAGCAGAGTACAGGTGTCTCATGTGAGTTTAGAGAAATAAAGGGGACATGGAATATATGGAAGAAACATTAAGATAAAGACAGCATTACTGCAGAGAAGTGAGCAAGAGGGTAGAGCTGATGTGGTATTAGGGTATGAGATGCGTGGCCCAAGACAAACCTGTAGAGAAATTGAGAGTATTTGYTCTGCTTTTGCAGCAGTGGTTTTTCCTTCCTTCAAAAATGAATTCAAGTTTACAATTTTTGGAATCTTAATTATGGAGAATTTAGAGCCTTTCTAAGAAAAGAGGGAGATGAACTTGGTTCAGACTTACTGAATCAAATAAATGTTTAAAATAAAATTTCTCTTACCAATGAGAAAGTTAATAGAATTAAAAAAARATTGTTCCTACTGTGTAGTTTAAATAAGAATAACCTAAGGATTAATGTTCTCAAATACTTAYTTTTGGACAAATGGTATTGCCTGATATGTGTGTGTCTATGTACCTATATTATTCCTCAGGGTCATTTTGTAAAGAATTTGGGAAGTGCTGGAGATAAAGAGACAGAGACAGAAGTTCTTCTGCTTGAACATGATGTCCCTCACCAGGCTTTTTCCCAGGCTGTCCTTAGTTTCCTACCAAAAATGCCATGGAGCATTACAGAAGAGGTAATAATTTGTAAATTATTGTAGTATTTACTGTCTCTGCCCCTTCAATGCAAACTGTGGCATTCTTGAATATCCCAATACACCCAAAAGAGATGAGAAATGTTGTCCAGAACTGTTCTGTCTTAGTGAGAACTTTGAGCAGGATTTCCTATGGAAACAAGACCTCTTCAAGTTTTTGGGTTTTGGCTAAAACCCAAAGTTTTTGGGTTTTGGCTAAAATTTGTTGGGGATAAATGTTTTTAGATAAAAATGATGCTGCAGGTTTCATTAAAGCATAAAATGATAAAAGAAGTTTTTGTTTTTTTTTTGCTGAGGAGAGAGACTCCAATTCYGACAATTATATAATCATCCTTATGAGTTTTTCGTCTTGCAAAATAGCTTTGTAACCAAATGTGGCAGCCTGTGTGTCATTCCAATTAATCTGAGTCATGGAGACTGTATTACAGCAGAAATATATTAAAGTAATTAAAGAAAGAGAAATTTATATTTGCAGAATTGCTCATTTAAATACAGTTTGTGAATTTTACGTTCTCCCCAGTAACTTAAATACAGAAAATAGTYACTTTAGAATTTATGGGAAAATGTCATTAGGGAACAATTTGAGCATGATGGTTTTTRATTTGGGTAGGGCTCAGTGGTTTTGGGTTTGCATTTTAATTTCCTGGAGGTYGGCTACTTGTATTATAATTTACTACCTACTCTACTTTTTCCCCCTTGAATGTGGAAACAGGAGGGATCTTCRTGTAAATTAGCTCTATAAAAGTCAGTTGTCCAGTCTAAGATAGTTGAGATCTTGTCTTTTTGTCACCATTTTGCAAAGGTGGWTACTTCCAAAGTGTGCAGTTCCATTCCACTGTCTAGACATCTAAGCCTTAGAAGGCTAGACTTGAGAGCAGTCATATCCTAGACAAGTGATTCAGCTGGACATCAGTCAAAATTTCACCTAAAAAAATCTCAATTCCTCATCCTGCTAATTCTAAGATCATGAGGAAACTCTGATTGTCTTCTAATTCTCTTTCTCATTTAATTAAARCAAAAAAAATGTTACTTGATCTTTTGTGTTACTTTTTCTAACATTACAGTTTCTGTTTTGATCTTGWMCTAAAAGAAACAAACAAAAAAATCCTAAAACAAAACAAATATTCTGAAAATACTTGGTTGCTTGGGAAAATCTTATGAAATGTGCCTTTCTCAAATGTTCATTTTTACTTTGAAAAGGAAGCTGTTCTTGAAAACTATTTTTTGCTTCTTTAAAATTTCAGGATATGAAACACAGGGAGGACTTAAGGCATCTGATTGTTTGCAGTGTTGATCCTCCTGGTTGTACAGATATTGATGATGCATTACATTGTAGAGAAATAGGAAATGGAAATCTAGAGGTATTGTATCAATCCAGTTATTTATTTATTTATTTACTTCTCCCTTTATTTTACAAACAGTGCAGTAGTGGTCACTGACATGTGCAAAGCTCTGGATCTGTTAYAGATAAATTAATGGTGTTTGCACAGCTGCAAGATGGTAATAAAAAAGTKAGTTGATTTGCATTAGCAGTGCCAAAAGTGGGAATTTAGTGTCTTCTAAATTCACGCTGCTTTATCCTCATTTGACATGAGAATTTATCATAAAATTTATTTACTGCTTTAGCTAAGTATTGTAAACAAGGATATTTACAGCTAGGATAAGGAACTACCCAAAAAAAAAGCTAAACTACTGCCATAATGCCTATGAAATTACTTTTTTTATTTTAAAGGAAGGCAATAAGAAGCTACAGGCTTAACACCAGCTCTCTACCCCCTTGTATCTGATTTAGTCAGATTGTCTTCTTTATAAACTAATTTGGAGTTGTAATAGCAGGGTGTGCCAGAATGGAAGGTCTAGCAARCAGAAAAACAAAAMCAAATTTGCAGTGAGTCTTGAAGAACATAAAAGAGGTTATTTGAGCCCTCAGGCAAAGAARAGTTGCATTGGTAGTGAATGTAACTTCCCCCTGAATGTACAAATGCCCTTTTTTTGAATTATTACTGAAACTGTTTATTTTTTAAAATCAGTATGATAGACGTTAACTATTCTTATTACAAAATATGGAAGCCACTGAAAGGAACTGGGAATGGATAAATTGGGTTGTAAAAATACTGGAAAGTTTTTTT